ACGGATGTGTATCTCTATGGTAAGGTACAGAGTGGTGTCTGTATATGCCCATGGTGGTATAACTAGATCCGATATAGTAGTTCCATATAGATTTCCATGGTCTCCATACTCCTCCTCCCTCCATCCCAACCATTATCTGCTGCCGTTTGATTTGTTGGTCTTGCCATTCTGATTAGGACCAAATGAAACTCAGAGTAGTCTTAATTTGCAGTTTCCCTGTTGGCTGCTGATGTTGAGTGCTTTAAAAAAAGTAGGTATTGGTCATTTTTGTGTTTCTTTTCTCGAGAATTGCATGCTGATGCCCACTTATCAACTGGCAGTTTTGTTTCCTTGGTGTTTACTTTTTACAGTTCTTTGGGTACTCCAGGTACCACCCCTCTGTCTGCAGCACAGCTGTATTCTGCAGGCTTTCTAATAGTTTACTTTGTGTCCAAAAACTTCCTGATTTCCCATGATTCCACCCGTTGATTCTTGGGGTGTACCTGGTGTCACTGTCCTGTTCAGAAAGTTCTTGTTAGGAGCTATAACTTGAAATATATTCCCTATTGTCTGGTAGTTTTGGCACTTTGGGTTTTCAAGTTGAGGTCTTTGATCCACTTCATATGTAGTTTTGGGCAACATGAGAGATGTACTTGTAACTTAGTTCTTTTGCAGGTAGAGGTCAGTTTTGCCATCACTGTTTGTTGAATTTGGCTTTCTTCATCCCTTTGTCAACAATTAAGTAACTGTAGCTGAAAGCACCGTATTTGACAATAAAATGTTCTTGCTTTCTTTAGCAGTGTATCCCTTCCCTCCGTGTAATGATTTAGATATTCAGGCAAGCACAATTTCATTGTTTAAGTTTTACAGAAATAGCAAACTACAATAGATTAGTTGATTTGAATATTTCACTCTAATATTCAACTCATGGCCTCTTAATTGTAACTTGCTTTGGTAAGATGAAGCAGAAATTAAAGAAAAAAGCACAGATAATTTACTTCATTAAGAAAAATTGGAAGGGCTTTATGCCTATCTAGTTTTTCTCTGTAGAAGCAGCTAATAGCATAACATTTGGCTAAAAAGTCTGCAATAGCTATCAAACCAATTAAAACACATATTTGAAACAAATAGAGGAATATTTTTTTTTTCCCTGTTAAGACAAAATCGTTTTCAGCTCCTGGCCATTTTCTTGCCTTACTCTCCTAGGTGCTAAGATTATAGGTATGTTCCACCCTGTCCAGCAAAGACAGAGATCTGAAGCTTTTCGCTTTAGAGACAGACGGGGCTGGATTCTGAAATTAAAAGTCTTGATTTCTGTGGCTTAATTTAGCATTTGATTTATCTGTCTCTATCATACCTTCAATAAACGAAAGCATGTACGCCAACTTCACTTTTCCCCCTAGGGAAATAGTGCATTTCTATCATTTTAAAACTACGTGCTTTATTACAAAATGTCCTATAACTTAAAGGGGAAATGCAACATGAACATGAAAATTGCCCTAGAGTCACTCAGTCCTAAATAGGATGTCTTCATCAATCCCCTTCCCTCAGGCCTGAAGAAGGGGAGATGGAAAGGTTGTAAGAGCCAAAGGGGATAGATCACCTCCAGGAAATAATGTCTCCCAGACACAACAGGACTGATGCACACATGAACTCACGGAGACTGGGGCAGAAAAATTATGTTCAATAAAAAAAGAAAAAAAAAATTACTCTACAAAGTTATTCCCCAAGGTTTTAAAAAGGTGGTTATACTCACTTTGGTAAATGTGTATGTATTGTGCTAGGCTCATGTTTTCTGGTCACTCTGCTCTTGAGATGTTCCGTGCAGACCTACCATTGTATCGAAAAGATTCTGTTTAGTCGCCTTCTTACCTTCCAGGAGGTGAGAATATTGACAGGAGCTGTCAGTCCTTTGAGATGTAACTAGATTTCCTGATGAAAAAGGGCACAGAGAGATTTGTTCAAATAATTCTCGTACATCATAGACCGGGGTGACATTTTCAGACAAAACGCAAATCATAAGTCAGTTAAGAAACCCCAAACAGTCTGACTTTTGACTCCGGCTTTCAAGTAGGACATGTAACAAATGGGAGGAGGCTTCACACAGCGTACTGGGCATCTACTCTGTGTCACCTCTGAAGGATGGACTACTTCAATAGCTATCACCTTCCAAGAGCTTTCTAATGAACTTTAGAGCAGGAATCCTTCAAAGAGTGGAGAGTCTCTACATTGAATAATTTTAGGGATTGGATAAGTGGGTTTTTTCACTCTAGGATGGGACCGGTACATGTTTTGAAATACGCTGTGTGTGTGCACATATGCATACATGTGTGTGGGGGGGGTGTGGGGGTATGTGCTCACATGAGCATGTGCGTGTCTGATGTATTCTTAGAAGGAAGACTGGTCTTCACTTCTTTAGAAACCATGAGGGCAAACAAGACTAAAAAATGCAGCCCACTTAAACAACAACAAAAACAAAAACAGACATGTCTATGTGTGCCTTTGTTATTTGGCAACATTGGGTTTTGTTATTTGAGATGCTCAAGATTAAGGCCAGATCCTAGCAAAGGTGTCTGACCCTGAATCGTGTGCAGCTCTGGCCTGTTATTCTTTCTAATGAAATCTGCCTCTTGTCCTTTTATGGAGCCACAACAGCTGAGCCAGTTAAAATTTTTATTGTAAACTGTAACTGGAAGCCGGATATGGTGGCACACACCATTAATCCCTGCATTTGGGAGGCAGGAGCAGGCAGATCTCCATGACTTCAAGGTCAACCTGGTCTACAGAGTGATTTCCAGAAAAGCTAGGGCCATGTCTCAAAAAGCCATAAAGTAAAAACAAACAGAAACAAACAAACAAACAAAAAATCAAACAATCAAACAACAATAAAATTCTATTAGGAGACAGAGGCTGCCTGATTTTTGAGTTTGAGCCCAGACTAGTTTTCATAGGCCACCAAGGGTAAGACTCTATCTCACAAGGGTAAAATCATAGCTGTGTTTATTTATGTAAACAGCTATAGAAACAATTACATTTAATTTGTTAATAAAAGAGTCTCTTTTAAAAAAAAAACCATTGAACAAATAAGGGTCATCACAGCACCCTTGCTGCAGACACAGGCTGGCAGCTTGGGAGTTTAAAAAGACAAGAAGAGATGGTGTCACACACGGGGGTAGTTCTCATTGTAGTTCCAATGCACATTTGTACCAGTATTGTGGAATAGCCACTGAAGAGGAGCTGGCTCGAACCTACGTGTAAAGAACAAGGAGAAAGCCAGCCGGGTGGTGGCAGCTGCACAGGACTTTAATCCCTGCAGAGGCAGGCAGATCTCTGTGAGTTTGAAGCCAGCCTGGTCTACAGAGCTAGTTCCAGGACAGCCAGAGGCTACACAGAGAAATCCTGTATCAGCACCCTCCCCCACAGAAATACAAAACAAACCTGAACTGGGGGCGTCTGTTGCACATACTAATATGTTGGAAACACTCTGCTATTGGCTGTGTCTTCTGATTTGCAGACTTAAAAGGTTGTGTATGGGACTGTCAGTGATGGATTCATGTAAATTTCCTTGCAGGGTCCAGACTTTCAGATTTCAACATGTTTTCTGCATTGCAGAGAAAAATTTGGTATTATTAGAAAAAGCAAGGAGCAGAACATTTTCTACACAGAAGTATACCACGGGGGTGGGGGACCTTAAGTTATTCTCATACCCAGTCTGTGCAAACGGGACTACTCCCTGAAACTGTGAATCCTGGTAGTCTGAGCTAGTACAAGGACTCCTAAGCCAGTCCAGGTTTTGGACTCTTGTGTTGGATGGGAACAACAGATCATTACCCTAGGAAGTTGTTTTCTCACAGTAGCCATGCAGGCAGGACTTCTGCTTAGGAGCTGAAGAATAAGAGCTCAGTCAGCACTACCAGGTCATGGTAGGAAGGCTGATGTATATCTTTCAGGGGCGGGGGGCTGGCACCGGCTTACCTTTGTCAGCCCCCATCCTTTGTCGTTTCCATCATCTATCCCCAGTCACACTGATCTGCTTATAAGTGTTCACTTTGTCTGAACACACATTCATGTTCCCCGGAGGCTCTTCCTCACTCGTACACCCCCTGACTGTCCTTATGTGACACAGCCCAAATGTTGGCTTCCATGGGGCTTTCCCACTCTTGCCTACTGCCTTCCGCTGCTGTCGGGTACTCCTTGCACACAAAGGTCACATGTCCTCTTACCATAAGCTGCACATCGATGGATCCCCGCTCCCTCCACCTTCTGTTGCCTTTCAAAGGTCGCTTGACTGTGTGGGTATATATAAGATGCAGGTGGAACGTTGATAATGATGCTGATGCCTTTTTTTTTCTTCCTGGCATCAGATGTACTTTCGTGAACCACATATGTGAAAATATTTTTTTCCTAAAAAAAAATCCTCTAACATATGCAATATTAATAGAGCCATATGCCACCCCTCTCTCGGCACAAAATCACACTGATAACATGGAAAATGTATGCTTGTTTTCAAAAGAATCGTCTGACTCGGCTAACTGCATCCCTGTGGGAGTGTGGTCCTCTGGGAACACAAATGTATGGTTTATTGGGCAATCGTTTCTTAGTAACATAGTTCTATATATATATATATATTTTTTTTTGAGTATTTGGAGGGGCAAATCTTATGTTAAATTTTAGGTACAGTGTTCAAAGTATTTTAAAAACAGTAACAGTATTTATACATAATAAAGTGAGAGTTTATAATGGTCAAATTCAGTCGTTCCAAGTATTTGTGTGAACAATAACACAGTATCACTTAAACATGATGAACAAAAAAAGCAGTGTTACAAAGATAAAGTAGGAATATAGAAACACCTCCCTCCACACACACACAAATGCTAGCTTTAAGAGGAACATGGCTTTATAAAAAGGGAGGGGAATAGGAGGGGCCTAGATTCGTATAATTTTTGGATTTTCAAGACTTGGTATTTACTGTCTGCCGAAACATTGTCACAACTTAAATGTTCTCTTCTACCCCCTCCCAGGCCAAATTCACAGACGACTGTAAATTCAGGGAGAGATTTCAAGAAAACAGCTATAATACCTATGCGTCAGCAATCCACAGAACTGAAAAGACAGGGCGGGAGTGGTACGTGGCCCTGAATAAGAGAGGGAAAGCCAAGAGAGGCTGCAGCCCGCGGGTCAAACCCCAGCACGTATCCACCCACTTCCTACCCAGGTTCAAGCAGTCGGAGCAACCGGAACTTTCCTTCACCGTCACTGTCCCAGAAAAGAAAAAGCCACCCGTGAAACCAAAGGTCCCCCTGTCACCGCCTCGCAGAAACCCCGCCCCAGTCAAGTACAGACTGAAGTTTCGCTTTGGATGATGCCCGTCGGGGCCTTGTGGGAAACCACTTTTCAGCCTCAGGACCTACAGGCGTCATCGCAGCCCTGAAGAAAACGTTCGGACACAGTGTGAGGTGCTTGCACGCGTGGAAGTTGGGTCGTGTGGTTCACTTCGACTGGAACAAAACTGCTTTTTTAAATTTTTAAATAGACACAGGAGCGGGATTCTGTGTAGCGACCCAGGAAGCACACCTCTTCAGTTGAGTAAGGTATAATGGCTTCGTGATTAGCGGATGTTTAGCATTCTGGGTCGTTCAGAACGTTCAATGGCCCGGACTATGTATTTTTCTGACTTTTGCAGATCAATCTGAAAGAACATACATGATGCATTTTTATTTTTGTTTTCCAAAGAATATTTTGATGCAGATAAAATATTTTATAAACTTTTTTTAAGGTACCTCTACATTGAGCATATTTTCTTACTTTTATTATTTTAATTAACGTGCCACAAGCCAGTTTATTGCTGTTCATGGATTATAAACATTTTGATAGCCTGTCTGGTAGCACATGGATCTCCTTTGCATTTTTCTCTTCACTGCATTGTTTACTTTATTTTAGTCATACCTCAAGTCGTGGGCATTTAGTTCTGCATTTTTTAAAGTGTTGAAATGTCCCTCCAGAGTCCCAAAGGCTTGGCTTGGCGGTGTGTACTGTGTATAAAGTCATGGCATTATGCGGGATCCTACCGCGTTAGTGGCTGGGCTCTCACGGCTAGAAGGAGGAAAACAGGCGGCCATGTCTGATGGATTTAAAGGTTGGACGTAAAGAAAAGGACGGAGGCAAAAGGGCGCTTAGTGTACAGCATCCAAGGAGGACTAACTCTTGTCTCTTTGCTTCTCCTTTTATCTAACCCCTGCCCCCGTTCGAGAAGAGCTGAAGGAAATACATTTTATTCTGTCCATCAAGCATACACTAAGAAACTGGAGTGCTTAAAAATACTTCTTTAACTCTCTGTTATCCTTACTGTATGGACCCGCAGGGAGCAACGAATCAGGGTGTGTGTGTGTGTGTGTGTGTGTGTGTGTGTGTGTGTGTGTGTGT